CAAAAAAATAGGTCAGAATTTAATGCAGCCTATAAATAGTAAGTTTTATTATTTTTTTCTTTAAAAATCATACAACATTACATCTATATATATATAATAAGAATTAACATTTACCAAAAATAGTAGCAAAAAAAATAGGTCAGAATTTAATGCAGCCTATGAATAGTAAGTTTTATTATTCTTTTATTTTTTTTTTAAAATCATATAACATTAAATGCTACCTTAAATTTCGAGCTTTAGTTTATTTTATTATTTAAAAAATTCAGCTAAGATTTATTAAGTGTGTATTTTTTATTTTTATTTTTTTTCTTAGAAACAACGAAAAACATTAAAATCTCGGTCTCTATATTTATAAAATCTCAATTCAAAATATAACAAAAGTTTTAGAATCTCGGTCTTTATATTTGTGCCTTCAAAAAAAATATTGAACGCTAAAAATATTATTTAAATTGCATAATCAATCAATTAATCTTAATTTTTTGAAAAATTACTATATTTATTTTTTATTAATATGCATAAAGTAAAAATATTTAATTCATCTTTAGATATATAATTTATAATCTTGATATACTATCATTTGATGTAGACATATATTATATGAATCATAAAAAAAATTATTTCATAGAATTAAATATATTTAAAGAAAATAAGAAAATTTCTTCGGATCAATCGGATGATTGAATTAAGGTTCTGCCCAGGCTGATTCAATTACTTTTAGGTGATATTTAAAATTGTAAAAAAATTTGACACAACTTGGTTGGTCCCAAGTGACTAAGTTATTTATCAGTTCGACCCCACCAAATCGATTATTGAACCTAAACATAAATTTTATAATGAAAATATTTTATTACGTGAATGTAATGTAGTCCAAACGTCAAATAATTGTATTAACAATATTTTTATGATAACATGTTTAATGATTTATGAATATTTATCTATCATTTTATTAATGTTTATGTGAATTAAATAATATTTTATTATAATATTTATTAATGTATAGTAAATATAAGGTTTTCAGAACTGAACCGTCATCGAAATGATCAAGCTATTATATTAAATCATTTGTGGTTTGTTCAGATTTTAATTTATAAACATTTTAATATATACATATATATATAGTACTTTTTGTAATAAATTTAAATAAAATGTGTTACTTAGATATCTAAAAAATTTATAATTAATGTTTAAACTAATTGATAAATAATTTATAAATCTCTATTTTATTTAAATATGTATTTTTATTTAAAATAATTTTAAATATAATAAAATTTATTTAGAAAATCGTATCGATCCTACCAGTCCAACCGACTGGTGTTGACGGATTCAAAAGCAAATATATTATTCAAGTGAACTAGACTGGTTATAAACGCTTATCGGTCCATCCGGTCGAACTGTGTTCAACCCAATTTAATTAAAAACAATGGATACATCATGATTAGTGTTATTTATATATTTAATTTATAATACAATCGTAATACTGTTTTACATGGGCCACGCACTAATTGAAATAAAGTAATTAACAATTTTTGTAGTTCACACCAATCGCGTTTTTTTAGCCCGTGGATAGGGTTGAATTTGTTGAATTTTGTGCCGAAATTATCAGAATTTACGAGGCCCACATCTCCAGTAGATATCGCCACGTGGACGGCTGATATCCACCCACACCCCTCCCCTTCCCGCTATAAATACGTTCCCTGGTTTCAACCTCTGCACAACAAAAAAACAGAACAGATATATTACTAAAATTCTAAATCAATTAAAAAATAAAATAAATCTTTTCTTTTAAAAAGATCAAAATCCCATAAAAATGTCTTGCTGCGGAGGAAACTGCGGGTGCGGCTCTGGCTGCAAGTGCGGCAATGGCTGCGGCGGGTATTTATTTAGTTTTAATCATTTTATTTATCTTTATATGATTTTATTTTATTTTATTTTTTCAAAACAATGAAGGATAATTAATTTGTGCAGGTGCAATATGTACCCGGGGCTGAGCTACTCGGAAGCTGCCGGCGCCGCCGCTGAGACCGTCGTTCTCGGCGTCCCTCCTCAAAGGACGTACGTACATTTATTTTTTTAATTCAAATTCCATATTTTTTTCTGTATATGCATAATTTGAAATTTAATCATCCTACTGCAAAAGCTCTAAATTATATAACAGCTTTTTTGTTCTTTTTTTTTTTGGGTGAAAAATTATATATTTTGAATAATTTTACAATTTATGTGCAGAACATTTGAGGGGTCGGAAATGGGTGTGGCCGGGTCGAAGAACGACGGGTGCAAGTGCGGACCCAACTGCACGTGCAACCCATGTAACTGCAAGTGAATTGGGCCTGGCCCAAACTTAATTGGGCTCTTAAGCAGGGATCAAGAATTCGTGATCGAGTCTTTACTAGTAATGTGTGTAGTTGACTAAAGGGCAAAAAATTATTATGTGGGAAAAAAATATTATTAGGAAGATGTAATTTGCGTCCTTGTGTAATAAAAAGTGGCCACGTGTGAGGGACTTTGTGGTGGTCGCTGGTGTGTGCGTTGTGAGATTGTGTACTGAAATCTGTTGCTTGCTTGGAGCCTTAATGCTAATTATGTATGTTGAAGAAAAAATCTGAGTTTTAATTGCATGAACTATTGTTAGCAAACAAAAGATATTCATCTTAGAGTTGCTAAACACATAGCTTCGTTTGGCCAGTTAAAATTCGAATTCGATTATTTTTTTTTTAAATGAGTCAAATTTAGGTAGTTAATAAGAGCTTATTAATTATGCAGAGTTAAGTGATTTTTTTACAACCATTTCTTTTTTTTAAAAAAAAATTATGTTTTAAATGAAAGAATTGAAGTAAACTTATTCAAGCATAATTATTTCATGTTCGCCAGCAATTCATTAAGAATTTAAAGCTTTATTGAGCTAACTCAAAAGTCTTAATGTTGTTAAACGAGCAGAATTTTTGGCTCTTTGATTAAGTACGAATTTATCAAGATAAAAGCCGAACACAGACTACAACGGATAATAAAATCAACAAGGGTTCAACATGATTTTTTGCCCAAATAATACTGTTCCATTTTAATCAAACTCATGTTCGGAATTATCAAGCTCTTCAATAATTACTTTTTCATCTCTTCTCAATGAAGAACAGAAATAATAATTTCACTCTTTATCAGGAAAATAATTTTATTTTTTGATTTATTCTACAAAAATTAATGGTGCACCAAAATGATGATGGGAATCCTCTAGCCACCCGAAAGAATAATATTATGCAATCATGATTTCTAAAATGTAAAGTAATTTGCCCTTATTGCAAAAAATGTACCATTGTTTAATGTTTTAACGAGATTCTTGGAACTAAACTACAATTTATTCCACGAACACACAATACAATAAGATTAAAACATCTTAGTATAACAATAATCACCAACCTGAATTATCCTATATTTTGTGGGTAATTCAACTAAACAATTCACAACAAATAATCTCAACCAGCTAACGTTCCAAACATAAAGCAGTCGGTACAAACACAATACAATGCAGCAAATTGGTACTAAAATGTACCATTTGTACTACATATGGTACAAGTGTACTAAAGATATCATAAATACTAAATAGTGAACCAAGAAAGCCAGACAAGGACAAAAAAACTGTCCTTATTCTGAGTCGACTCATACAGTGAAACAGAGTCGACTCAGTGGAAACAGAGAACAACTAGGCGTTGTATACGAGTTTTTCAAGTAGTCCACTTGTAGCTTTTCCAAACATATTGTGCACCTGCGCCGTAGTTTAATTCAAAAAAACATTAGGAAAAAAAAGGTAAATAAATAAAATTGAGGNATAAGGAATATGAAAAAATGTATTTATTTTTCGTCTTATTTTCTCTTATATGATATATCCTATCAGTTAATTGATCAGATTAAACGAACAAAAAAGACATTTGTATTATTTAGGAAACTGAAGAATTAATTGACCAATTATAAAATGCAATGGTGAAAAAGACTGGAGTTATTCATGATATATATCTGTTGAGGGGTTTAATGAATTGTAAAGTAAATTGTTGCGGTGAAAATTAGGTGTGCATAACTGACACGACATGAAACACGAACACGACACGATATGATTAGAAAACATGATAAAAGAGAGAAATAAAACATGACACGATATACAAAATTCAGTTAAATTTCGACTCATTTTCGCATTTAAGATCAAATGAAATAGATAACACAACACGATAGCACGATATGCCATGAATATTTTAAAAAATATCAAATAACCCTGAAATATTTCTCAGTAAAATTTTGCAACTTGCTACTCCATCTAATCTTACTATACATTTACCTGTTTGGAGGAAAGACCAATCTTCTCAAGATCATCCAACTGCAATCACCACAATAAAAAATATGAAGAATTAATAAAATTTTCATTTGCAAGTCCCTTTTAAACATGAAGCCGACATCATTTTTTATTTAATATTTTAATAGTTCTTACAGATTTCAGAGGGCTCGCTGCCCTTAGCTCAATGATATACTCGGCTAACCTCTGACCGATACCCTGAACTCACAGCAAGAAAGAACAATGAGTTGTTTGTTTTGATCAATTGTAATGGAGTTCTGTTTTTCCAAAAGACAGCATTACCCTTAGCTTCATTAGCTCCTCCCTGAAAAATCAAAGAACATGAAAATGAAGTTCAACTCAAAAATCCAAAGATAACATCATATGAAAGGTAAGAAGAAAATTTGAAGCTTTAGAAGGAAATTTTTACCGGTCTGCTGTGTTTAAAAATTCGATATAATCTCGGATGAGGGTAGTCTGTGTAGAAGGAAGATACGCGTTAAATGCACATATATGATGCAAATATTTATTATTACTAAAGAAAATGAAAAGGAAAATAAAGGTATCACCTTTAAGCTGGAACTCCGTGCAGTAAGCTTATCAAGCGGGGTCCCTAAAACTTGGAAGTTTTTTTCGCCATCACGCGATATGGGATTTAATGTAGGAGTTTTCGGTTCAGTAATAAGAACAAAATGTGGTTTTTCTGTATTTTCGATAGGTGAAAGTAGTTTCCTAACAGGACTTCTAAGTGCTTTTATATTCTGCTTCAGAGGTGAAAGGCTAATAATGCCATCAACAGATTTACAGTCCCTTGCTTCCTTCTCATCGAATGACGATGCATCTAGAGAGAGAGGGAAGGAGAGAGGATGAGATATTACACAAAAAAAAAAAAATGGAAATTATGAAACTTTAGATATAAAAATGGAATGAAAATAGAGTACAGTGTAAGTCGGGATTTGAATATGGCGCAACTTCATTGACCGGTATTACGGGTTTTGCAATACTAATTTCAGTTGGACAAAGTTCTTGAGCCTGTGAAAAAAAAAAACAAAATAAGACGATGAGATTATACGAGCGAAGGAGAATAACTCTCCAAGCTATCAATCAAACTAAAGAACTCAACCAGGAAAGTGATGATCATCAATAGCTCGTCGAGCAGAACTTGCAGTAACATATTATTCTTTCCCTATATCAGTACGTTTAGAAAGGCATTGTAATAATTTCATCTGCAAATACTAATGCATCTAGCAGAACCTAAAAGGCTAAAAAACATAACACATGCCTCGTGGTTATTATCTGCAGTACTACTCAGACCATGAAATATGTTTCTGCTCGCTTTACATGAACTCCTGCAGAAAAGAAATTAAATAAGTTTTCATGCGCAAAATACCAGTTTTCTCTCTCTCTCTCTCTCTCTTTTTTTGTTTTCTACCTTTGTTCTGAATCGAGAAGACTTTGGCCTCTAACAACTTTAGCTTCATTAGAGAGCAGATTTGTGTTCAATTTCCTGATAGGTTTAACCGAACTACTCGGCGTCCTGCCACAAAATGGAGAGTGGCAAAGGCCCATTCTTTGTTGAGAAGAACCTTTCGTTTTGCCTTTCGATTCGAGCCAAGCAAGAAGCTTTGCCTCCATATCAACCTTCACATTCGAGTTCGAATTGTTTTGAGCCTGGCTCACGAAATTCGAAACATGGCGTGACCTAGCTGCCAAGCTAACAGTATGAACAGATTCTTGATACTCTCCCGGATTCTATTATTGCCAGATAGATAATTCTTCAGTCAGTTCATAAAAAAAAAAAAAAAAAANAAAAAAAAAAAAAAAAAATATGTTTATCCAAATCATAACAAAATTTTGATGTAAAAAATATCAAATATCATACCAAACAGGCGACCATAAGAGCTTGGCTCGTCCCACCAAGAGAGTCCTGTAGTATTCGCGTCAACTTACTATCTCTGTAAGGCACTCTTGGCTGGCCATTGTTAAGTGCGTAAATCACATTTGACAGCGCAAACAGAGACTGGTTTATCTTGGCACTTTCTTGAAGTCGAATTCCCTCATTGCAGGTCCTCCTATTGTCCTCATTTCCTACATTTAATTCATATATTCAAATGTTAAAACTTAAAAATACTCTTACAGCATATTCTAATACTGTAAGATAGCTGTAATTTTTGCTAATTATGCTTAATCCCTGTCTAGAGCATAAAGAAAGTACTTATTTTAACCAAATACCTGCTAAATCGATGAGGTTAAGCTTTCCAGTGACAGCTTTGTCAGTACTATCATGTTGTGATGGGGTTAAAACGGTAATTGTAAGCACCCCATGGCTTCTGCTCGACACGTCATTGAGGCTCGTATTCGCGACCTTTCGTCTTTGAATCGCAGAAGAGAATATCTCGTGAAATTCGGCCGATGAGCTCACTTCGACTTGAGCCAATCCCTTGAGGTGGATCTGCCCATCTTTATCGTTCCATACGAGGATTTCCTTTTCTTTAGGATCCAATAAATCGTAACACTTGTCGAGGTAGATCTCGAAGTAAGAAATCGAAACAGTACTACTGCCAGTGGAAGAATTGCACGACAAGATGTTTGACATGGAAAGTGACACTAGTCCAGGTACCTTATCTGTCCCCTGCATTTTCATTTTCATTTTCATTTTCGATTTTTGGCAAGATGCATTAAGTTTCAAACAGAAGATACAACTGAATTCAAAGTGAAGTGATGGTTAAACACATAAAGTCGTTAAATTTACTGTGATAGAAAGCTAATCTCCATTCCTAGCAAATTATACAGAAATTTGGCATTAAGGGCTTAGATTAAACCTGCATAGTGTAAGTTTTTCCACTTCCAGTGGCCCCATAAGCGAACACAGTAGCATTATAGCCCTGAAATAGTCCTGGAACTAAAGGCTTAACTTCTTTCTCGAAAATCCGGCTCACATTGTCGTCTTCCTCACCGAAAACCGCATCCAATTGGTAGCACTCTTTTCGACTAAAGCCACAGAAGCATAAAATATATATGTATATTAAACCAAAACCCTAGAAAAATTGCAGCGTCTGTAAAAATGCAAACCTGGTTTCGTGATCTTTGAGGACAACAGTGATTTCATCAGCTGAAGGCTCGGATCCCTGAACGGATACACAGGATCTAGGGTTTCCGTTTTCCGACGAGGCTTCATGAGGGAGAAAAGGCCGGAGCTTTAGAACGACTCTGACCTTCGATGCTGAACTCGGCTGGCGGTGGGTTTTTGCCGGGGTGGAATAGCTCTTGGCTTGAGATGGGGCCGCCGGAAAGTGTTCGGTTTGGGTCTCCATGAGAACAGACGGGCGGTTTTCTGAGGCGGAGAGGAGCAAATCGACGGTGGAGTTTCTGTGAAAGTTTGCTTACTGTGTTGTGTAGACCGTTGTGAAAAAAGGGGTTTTTTTTCTCTGTACATCTTTTGAGCGGTTTTGAACGTTTAAATTTGAAGTGTGGGCCCCACCAGACCCGACCCGAACCAAATAACCCTACTTGACAAAAGGTTTGGCCCATTACCAAATTCAACAAAGCCCAACATAAAAGCCTTTACCCAATAAGTATAAATAACAAAAAAGAGCCCACAAAAAGCAGAAGACGCAGCACAAACGGAAAGCACTGAAGTCGCAACATTGCAATAGAAGACGGGGATAACGAGGGGGGAGAGAGAGAGTCAGCGCCGCCGTGTGCCCACGGATTTTGTGAACAGAAGCCGCCGGCGAGAAATCAATTTCCGGTATGTCCTAATTATTATTCGTTTAAAAGAACTAATATATATCCGGTGTCTGATTTACAGTTTCTAGTGAATATACTGTTTCAATTTGCTCGTGAATCGTGAATTCGTGATTACTACCAACTTCAGTGACGCTGATTGAGGTTTTTAGGTGATTAATGTTGGACTTTCTGCTGGCGAAATTTCCCTGAGCTTGAATTTGATTTGGGAACAAATTTTGGGGGGTTTTGGAGCTTCAGTCGAACTGCATCTCGTATTTTGCTTCCTGTGTTTCTGTTTGCCTATTTTTTTTTGTCCATTTACAGTTATTAATTTGTTCTATCATTTGATTTATCATGTCCATAATCAGTATTGCACAAACTATTCAAATTGAGTGATGTGATGGGGACTTCTTAGTTTTGTACGCAATACGTGAAGTATGGAGATCTAATGGAAGTTGAATGCTTTTAAGGCGTTTGTGTTTCGAAACCCTGATTTTTTTTTTCATCATCGGCTAGCTTGCACTAATATCATTCATTCGTAGAATTGTTTTATTATTCTGAAAAACTAGTAACCGAATTTGTTCTGATTTTCTTGAAATATGTAATCCGGCTTAAGGTCTTTGGAATCGTCTGGTTGAAAGTAGAAACTAACCTCATTTTTTCATATTGGGTGTTGAGCGGCCCTCCAACAGCTAATGTAAAATTTTTGTATCATCTGATCGTCTTTTCTCCTCACACATCACATAAGCTCGGGTAGTGATTCCCTCAACTAGCTTTTCTTTCCGAAAAATTATTTACCAGCCGGTCGAAACTAACCTCTGTCTTTTGTATCAGGCATTTAGCCTTCATTAGCTGATGTAAAAGAAGAGAAAAAGAAATGGATTTACCAACAAACGAAGCTTTGGTCAACAAGCCAAGAAAAAAGAAGCCTTTAACAAAAGCTCAACACACCGAGATATTACCATCACCCGCCGAAACTCGGACGAATTCAAGCCGAAAGGGGCAAAAGCCTTCAAAGAAGGGGGTCGCATACGAAATCCCGTCAGGTTTCGCATCGGACAAGATAGATTCGGCAGCAGATGCCGAGCTGACACCTGGCGGCAACGAGTACCGAGCCCTAAGGCGAAAGTACTTGCTTCTGGAAGAGGAAAGCTTCGGGTTAGGACGAGAGTTGAAAGTGGTCGAGGATGATATAAAGGCACTTGAGGAGGAGAAACTGTCTTTACTAGACGAGCTCGTTGTCTTGGAAGGCCTCGTTGACCCTTTAAACGTTCATGCACGAAAGCCTTAGGTTTGCCATGAAAATGTGTGTTTAATTTTTCTTTTTTCTCCATTTATTATGGTGTGTGTGTGTGTGTACTGTGAATAAAGGAATATTTTCTCAAGTATTTATGATTTTTTATATATATATTTCTGGTAGAAGAGAAATGTGTGGATTGTCTGTGTAAATCTTTCTTTTACTTCAGTTGAAACAGAAGAAGGTATACTTGCATTGTTGCTGGACATTTTAGGCAACAAGGAAGAGAGACTTGCCACAAATTAAACGAGTCTGGTTCGGCTAGGCTCGAGTTCGAGACCTTAACGAGCCGAGCTCGAGTTCATGTAAAGCTCTTTTGGTTAATAGACGAGTTTCAGTTTAGCTCATTAACTCCTCTTAACTAGACGATCTCGAGCCTTTACAAATCGATATAATGATAGAAGTTCAGAAAGTTACGTAAAAACCTCTATTTATTTAAGTCTTCCGAATTGATCAGTTCGGCTAGGGTTATTAACTAAATGAATATTAAATGTGTTCGAGTTTGAGCTTTGATAAACAACCTAGGTGAGCTCACTAATGGCTCGTTTCATTTAACAACTCTACTTGCGACTATGGTTTACGAACAATGGGTCAGGTCTTGAACCGTGGTTGGATTCATCTGAGTCCGTGCTTGCATAATTCCTGTCTAATTATAAAAACTTAAAAAAAATTACAACAGTGTTACTTTAGTCAAATTAATTTATTTATGCATCGAGTATAGTGCGGGAATACGAAATGCATAATTCTGTATTTTAAAAATTCAAATAATTATGCAGAATAAGAATAAAAGATCTCAATGGATACTTTGAGAGCCACTTGAGCACTTAAAAAATTATAAGAAACAAATTTAATTAGCATGCTTTAATTAATCACATGATTAGATAATGCAGGGTAGAAACGGGTTAGAATATCGTTGGGCTCAGCAAGACAAGTGTTACACAGCCTAATCGTATGTCGAATTGTCGATTTCTCGATATACTTGCATACTTTTATTTCATCAAATATTATATCTTAAAGAATAACAGAAAAAAATTAATAACATTTCATGACATAAATATTAAATCTAGCTATTAAATTATCTTACACCAACATTTATCTTATGGATAATGGATATGAGAGTTTCTATTTCTTAATTGTTCTCTCTTTATCACTGCTTCACCTTTGTGCCAAAAAGTCAAAACTTTCCAGCTACTTGTTGTCGTTGTTGACTTGAAATTTATGAAGAGACCTTTCTTTATTTAGCTGAATAATTGAATAGTTTACCTCGGCAGAGATTCTTTAAGATAAAACAAACAAAGGCTCTGAACTTCTCATGTGACTAAATTTCAATACATAAATACCTCTAATTAAAGCTCGTAATTTACATTTAAACAGCTTGTCTTATGTTTTTAAGTAGTTAAAGTATACATGAGATTTCTTCTGATTTATGTAGACATATCCAACGGGCTGAATCCGATCGAAATTACCTATTGAATAACGAATCGAAACAATTTGAACCACCAATTTCAAATCGGTATTAGATAGAAACCACAAATTCCTAATATTTTTTAGCAAAATAAAATTATTTTCAAATCGCGAACTTAAAACTGTATATATAATTGAAGGGAGATTATTTTCTGGATTTTGATACCTAATTCAAAATTCCGTACGCATAGATATCATTGAAGATTTGAATTTTTCGCTGAAATCGAAGATATAACTTGGACATTTGATAATCAACTTCTTACGTTTTCTAATAGATAGTACATCACTAGATCTTGCTATTAATTCAAAGGGCCTATCCACTAGCATCTTATGAAAAATAAAGGAAAAAGAAGAGAGACAATTTCATTTTGATAGGTTGATTTTATATTAGAATCGTGTTACAATGACTAAATGGCCTATACAATAGTTTCTTTAAAGTCATTATCCATATAACATTGTCAAAATCAATAATTCTGATTCTAGTAAAATAATTATACTATTGTCAAAATCAGCAATCCAAAATTTCACATCCAATATTCCAATCATTATATGATTCGGTAAATTGGTATTGCAGATTAACTCTTTTATATTATTATAATTATAATTATTATGTTGTTAAAGTAACAATTGATTACACATTTGCAGGACCACAAGGAAATACAACAAGTTAAATATATTTGTTTTAAAAAGAAAAAAACTAAGAAAGAAACAAGAAGTTAAGGGGAAATTTTCCAAATTTATTAAATTTAATATTGACATAGTTAAATATATTTATTTTAAAAGAATAAAACAAAGAAAGAAACAAGAAGTTAAGGGAAATTTTCCAAAATTATTAAATTTAATATTGACATTAATCACCATCACAGGGGACTCGGGTGAGAACCTAACTTTAAATAATAATTAAATATAATACTAACTTTAAATAATTTACAAATTATTAGCATAAATACCTTATATCTTAAAAAATTCATATATATTTTATTTAATCCTTGCTTTAACTTTACAATTTGTTACTGAATTTCCTTGTTTTATATTATTATTATTTAAAATTCTAGACCACAATTCACAAATCACAATCACAACGAACTGAAGAATTTTAATCAACAAAAAAAAAAGGACCCAAAATAAAAAGACCAAGGACCAAGTCAAGTTTTGCACACTCCACAAAAGTCTCTAAAAAGGCATCTTTTAGGTCTGGCCCCTCAAAACGAAGACTTGGCTCTCGATAAAAATCCACCAACCTTAAAAAAAAGTTCCATTTTTCGCGATATCCAGCTTCAAAATTGCTTCTTTTTGTGCTTGTTTCAAATCAAGATCTCTCTTTTATGCTCCTTTTTTGCACTTTTAGTCTAAAGCCGCTTATGTGAGGTACTTGTACGGTTGGCGGCTGGCACCTAAATTGATTAAGGTGGAAAAAAAACAAGAAAGTTCAGTGGTTTTTCACAGCAGATCTGAGGCCGTTTACTGAATTTTGATTGGTTTCATAGTTATCTTCTTCGAGGGTTTGGAAAAAATTGAATCTTGAAGATTTTATCTCTGAGCTTGTGGGCTAATTTCTTGATATATTTCAAGTGTTCCGACCTTTGAGACATATTTTTGGAGCCTTTTTTGTTTGTTTTATTTTTTCCGCGAGTTTTTGTTTAAATGGGGAGTTGCTTGAGCAACCAGATAAAGGCTGAGAGCCCTTCTTACACAGGTACACTTATGTTCTGAATTATTTGACTTCTTCAATTATTTGTAGGTTCTCAATAGAGAAAACGCTTGTGATCATCATTTTGTTCTGTTTTGAGCTGAAAAACAAAGCTTAATAAGTGTTTACAGTTCTTTCATTTTATTGTTCTTAGGATGTTGTACTTGCTTGCCATGTTGAATTAATTAAAAGGTGTTCTCAAATTGATTTCTTTCATTTTATTGTTTTTAGGATGTTGTACTTGCTTGCCTTGTCGAATCAATTAAAAGGGGCTCTCAAGATTTTTAAGCTTAGGACACTGTACTTGCTAAAATTTCTGATATTGTGAAGAAAACATACCTAAATTCAGGGATTTTCAATATTCTTAAGCTTAGCCTTCAATTCTTACTTCTAGCTATAATACACCATTGCACGTCGCGTTAGTTTCTAATGTTTTTTTTTTTCATCCGAGCCATTTAATGTACGTTTGTAGGCACAGGCTCGTCGAAAATGGCGAGTGGGAATGTAACAAATTTACGTAACTTGAGCCGAAAGACATCCTCCTCATCGTCTGTGCCCCCAACTCCCAGAACCGAAGGCGAGATATTACAGTCTCCAAACGTTAAAAGCTTCAACTTTAGCGATCTTAGGACAGCCACCAAAAACTTCCGGCCAGACAGCGTCTTAGGAGAAGGAGGCTTCGGCTCGGTTTACAAAGGTTGGCTAGACGAGAGTTCTCTGGCGGCCTCACGGCCAGGCTCGGGTATGGTTGTGGCCGTTAAAAGGCTAAAACAGGACGGGTGGCAAGGGCACAAGGAATGGTTGGTACGNTCAAATAAAGAAAAGGGAGAAATTTAACTTATCGTGAATGGTTGGTACGTAAAAATTTCGACTTTATGAATTCAACTGAAAAAAAGAGAGAGAAATTTAACTTATTGTGAATGGTTGGTACGTAAAAATTTTGACTTTATGAATCCGACTGAAAAAAAAAAAGAGAATTTAACTTATTGTGAGTGGTGGGTACGTAAAAATTTCGACTTTATGAATTCAACTAAAAAAAAAAGCGAGAGAAATTTAATTAGTTGTGGTTATTGAATGCTTGTGGTTAGAATTGTTGGGATCTTATGTGGATACTTTTGTGTAGTTTATTAGAAATTTAATTGGTGTAGTTCTTGTTTTCTTGTATAAGTATACTTTTTATTTGGGTTGTGTTGATAGGCTGAGATCAACTATTTGGGGCAAATTAGTCATCCGAATCTTGTCAAGTTAATCGGTTACTGCTTGGAGGATGACCATAGGCTTTTGGTGTACGAGTTCATGCCGAAGGGTAGCTTAGAAAATCACCTATTCAGGAGTAAGTTCAGTTTGTTCTTCTATTAATGGCCTTTATATGTAGTGTTTGCAGATAACCAGAAAATAGTGATTAAAAAGGAAGGAAGGAAAGAAAGAAAGAAAGAGTCCCATAATCTTCAGAAAGATTAAAACTTTGCTGTCATGGGATATTATATTTGCTGTCATCGGATATTATAATATGTAAGCTTAGCAAGTTTCGAGCAAATTGAAGAATGTGATGAATGAAGTTAATTTGGTTAGTGTTGTACTTTCAGGAGGATTGTACTTTCAGCCTCTTCCATGGAGTTTGAGAATGAAGATTGCTCTTGATGCCGCAAGAGGGCTCGCCTTTCTTCATAGTGATGAAATAAAAGTAATATACCGGGACTTCAAGACTTCTAACATCCTTCTTGATTCGGTAAGTAATTTTTTTTTTTTTTTTTACTTCTTTTGTTCTGCTTGCTTAAAGGAATAATGAATTAGAATTGAAATTTACTCCTTATGTTTGTGTTTACTTATTGCGACTGTCTTTCTGTGCTTATTTCCTTAACTCACAGCACTACAGCGCGAAACTATCTGATTTCGGGCTGGCTAGGGACGGGCCCACTGATGATAAGAGTCATGTCTCGACTCGCGTCATGGGAACTTACGGATATGCAGCTCCCGAGTATCTATCCACAGGTACAAATTGACCGCATGTCGTTACACGGCAAATTTGAATTTATAATTTTTCCTAACTTACCCCTATCTACTTAGTAGTAGTGGCGAGCAAGGGTCGATCCCAGTGGTATAAACAGTGAATTTATTATATTAATTAGATTATAATAAAAATGGGGGGTTTGATTTGAAACTAAACTACTCGCAAAGCAAAAATATAAACTAGAACTAGAAATAAATGACTAGAATGCAAATGATGATGAAACCGAAAATAAACAAATAATTTAGCAAAAATGAGAATGGAATCGGTCTCAGGTTGGTCTACACCCTCGAATAACTAGCCCAATTAATGCATTTATCAAATTTCACTCGTCTTCTAAAACTACCATTCCTAGATAGCAATAAGCTCTATTACCCGAATTTTCTCTTAATTTATACTTAATCGAAATAGGCTCTTCAATTAATTCTAACTAACGAATAACTCGGAATAAACTCTCCTAATTTAATCCACTAGTCGCATTAAAATCTAGGAAAATAGACCGATCTAAGCCACAAACACATAAGCTCGGTTCATGTAACTTATGTTGTGTTATCCCTAACAATGCACGACTGTTAGTTGCTACAATTGAATTAAGAACTACGACAATTACGGTTCGAAGCCTCAACTCTAGCAATTAACATGCAATTCCTAATGTAGGTGATCAAGCTAAATTAAAAATCACACATTATGACATGAAACTAAAATAACACAAACAATTTTATACGAGGAGTAAAACGAAATAAATAGCATTAATCGAACATAGTCATCGAGGGTTCAACGTCCCTAGAACCGAATAAATATTTAGCTACACATGGCTAAATGATAAAAATAAAAATAATAATCCATGTCCTACAATCAAAATAAAGAAAAGCAAATAAACTAAATAAACCAAACTCCTTCAGTTCAAATGATCCACGACTGAATTCTCCAGCAAATAAGTTGAACTTTTTCTTCTCCTTGATTGTTGTCTGTCTGTCCGCGTATGAAAGGTCCCAGCCAGGTAAAAAAATGAATAATCCTTTTCCTATGGCACGCAGCTACTAGATAAGAGTCCCACTCCCCATGAAAGTCTCTTTTATTCCTCCTTCTTGACCAAGTCAGCAGCATCTATTACTCTTTAGCAAGAAAATTGAATAATAATATAAAATAGAATTAGCCCCCATGCTGCCTAATTCCTCACGCAGGTTTTCCAAAATTTGTAAGAGTGCAAGTCCAATCCAATTTCCTCTTAACTTCAGCCCAACCAATTCGAGAACCTCCATGCTGCGTGTATTTTGACCAAGCAAAATTACATATCACATCCTTGTCTATTAAATTCGCCACCTCACCAATGCCATGTCATCAATAGGCATAATATCAAAAAGCGCTTAACCTGCAAAATTAACACAAATTCCAAATATTGGTGTATGTCCGTTCACAAAATAAAATACGTGAGAAAACTTGAATAATACACTAAAATCTAATACTCAAATATGTAAATTAAATTCCAAAATAATACAAGAACTCTCACGTATCACAAATCACACGTTAGCCCAATTTTATTATTTATTTATATTTTTTCTTGATTTATATAAGTAATCTGCTTATGATATGATTCTCATTGCACCATTTTGTGTCTATTTAGCTTTCGGTTTTTATCAAACGAGTCGAAGCTGAGAAATCAAGATTT